CTCTTGGGATACTCCATTCGTCCTTCAGCTCCGGAAGTCACCCTGAAAGTAAGAAATTAGTCATGCCCCTCTTCACTTTGAGCTTCGTTGTCACTTTCATTTTTATCAGACTTTAATTCATCATCCCAAGTGATAGAGAAGGCTTTTTTCTTCCTTAAACGATTAGGGAATTCTTGAGCAAAGTGGCCAAATCCTTGGCATTCATAGGATTGGACTCTTTCAGAGTTCCCTTGTATTTTTCCTTTCTTCTTCTTGGTTGTAGAATCATTTTTGAGTTTATCTTTGCCTTTAGATTTATGAGTTGATTCCAAGAGATTAGGCTTCTTTTCAGAAAAGACTTTTTAAATTGTTTTACAAAAGCATCTGTAATCTTGGAATCAATCTCACAATCCTCATCAGAATCATTTCCAACTCTATGAGCACTATTAAAAACAATATCATATTTTTGTTTCTTTTTTAAATTCATATGTGCCTCATAGGTTTGGAGATTTTTAACCAAATGATCCAGCTTGAGGTTGTCAACTTATTGAGTCTCCTCAATAGCAGTAACTTTTGGTTGAAACCGATTGGGCAAGAACCTCAAAATTTTTCCTACAATCTTGGATTTCGGTATTTTTTTACCTAAATTGAAGTTGGAATTTACAATGTCACTCAACTTCGCATAAAATTCATCAAAGGTCTCACTATTTTTCATTGAAAGGTTTTCGAAACTAGACGTGAGCCTTTGAAGTTTTGAGCGTTTAAAGTGCCCTTATGAATAGTTTGTAAGATATCACAAGCTTCTTTTGCGACTTCACAATTGTAAATACGACTAAACTCTTCTGGTGTGACGGAGCAAAAAAGAGAATTTATAGCTTTACTATTCCAGCTACTATTTTGGTAATTAGTTGTGTCCCACTTATCAATTGGTTTGGGAAAAGTTACTTCATCAATTGATTTTAAAAACGCTCTCATTCGAGCTTTCTAAAAAGAATAATTAGATCTGTCAAGTAGGGGTGGTTGAATCGTAGAATTCCTTTCACGAATTGAATCTATTATCATAAATCAAACAAGATCTCGCTTCAATAGTTTTGAAAAAAAAAAATAGAGCAACCTGCTCTGATATCAATTGAAAAATCTAAAAACTCCCAAGATATTGATTTGTGATTATGTTTCAATTTTAAATAACGAATGGCAATCCCAATCAAACAATCAAAGACAAATCAACACAACAATTTAACATGAAAAAATCATAATGGGAGCGCCTCCAATTATGATTAAAAAAAAAAAATCACGGACCAAAGCCACAAAACAATCTACTAAGAAAACAAAAAAGAATTACACAAGTATACTCTCAATTACCTAGTGAATTCACGCCCAAATTAAACCAACCCCAATGTGCCTCTTCCACCACCGTCTTCACCTCGGAATTGTCTTGTCCAACGTTGAATCCACAATACTAACGTCGAATCCACGACGATGAGCCACTCCAGAATCCACCAAAGCTTCAAGCCCAAGTTTTCCAAAATCCACCGAAGAACAACTCTCTCTTTTGTGAATAAAGAAAATAAACAAACCCTTGATGATGTTGATATGAAGTTTACGGATCCATTGATCACTCTTAAATCATCAAGAAAACATTCATAAAGCACCCTCCAATATAGAATACTTTGTTTATTATTCCTCTCTGAAAATCTAAACGGCTTAAACCCTAGAAACAGCAAACTACGCACTTTATAGTAAACTGAATTGCGCAGTCCGCTCGAGCACACTTGAGTAGTGTGACTAAAAGCGGTGCGAAACATATAGACTGATCGCTCAAGTAACCACTTCATGGCTCGAGCGAACTCATTAAAATGCGTGCTCATCACTTGAGCCAAGGCTCCACCACTCGAGCGTATATACGATACTCTCAGAAGTTTGGACGCTCTGCAAAAGTACTAGACGATGCCATTCACCGCTCGAGCGCATAAATGATTGCTCAAGTGGTCAAATAACTTCGATTGCACATTTTGCTTCGGGGGTGCTGTCCCTCGACCCCACCATGGGGCGCTGCTCCTTAGACCCCCCCGTACTTAGTCAGCGAAGTGGCAAGCATGACGGGATTAAGATCACAAACTCCGTTGGAAGGCACAATTTGGGTTGGATTTGCATCTAAACACTCATAGCCTTACTGAAACAAAAGAGCGAATAAAATTACAATTGAAAGGAGTTTTGTCAAACAGGATTGCCATTTACAAAAACCTAACAATAGCATCTTTCAATTTCTATAGAAATTTGATTCAATCCCAAGACAACCATATTGGCTATTAAACGCAATTCATGACTTCTTTTATTTGATCCTGAAGCTTGTGTACCCAATATTGAATTTTTGCAAGAAGTGGGTATACCAAATGAGAAAAAATTTATCTTGTTAAGGTACACATGTCGATCTCGAGGTTTCATGTTAAACATTGTTACCTTTAGAAGGATTGAGGAAGATGTAGAGAAAATGGGTTTTAATCCTTGTAAATTGAATTTTGTGTTAGCAATTCATGTATTGAAGTCAATAAGTAAATCAGCATAGGGGAAGAAGGTTGAGGTTTATAAGAAGTGGGGTTGGTCTGAGGATGAGATTCTTGCGGCTTTTGGGAAACACCTCGTGTTTATGATAGTGTCCGAGAACAAGATCATGAGAGTGATGGATTTTTTTTGTCAATAAAATTGGTTAGGAGTCTTGCAAGAAAGCCAATATTGGTGTCATTGAGCTTAGAGAAAAGGATTGTTTCAAGGTGGGCATTTTATGAAGTTTTGTTATCGAAAGGTTTGATTAAGAACAACAATAATAGCTTAATAAATATGTTGGTATCTCTTGAAAAATGCTTCCTAAAGAAGTTTGTGAACTGTCATAAGGAAGAAGCTCCCAAGCTATTGAAATTGTACAAGGAAAAGTTGGCTTATGCAAAACAATTATGATTTGGTATGTTGATGAGACTGGATTGGCTAAGGATGTTTTCCTTTGATACCGACTCAACATATAGTTGCCCTTTTCTTCTACTTCTCATGATTTAACCATGGTTATTGAATTCTCTCATTTTGAATACAATGGGGTTATCAATTAAAATTTGTCATCTGTAAGCATGTTTCAATTCTTTGTTTTCACTTTGACAAATGGGATTGAAGTTTCACATTGCTACATTGAATGTTGATCATTTTGGAATGGCTTGAGTCTTGAATCAGTGTACCAATATATGTTCATCTGGGTAATTATATATAACTAATACCTACGTATGTATATCTTTTGTTTATGCATTACCATATTGTTTGTGCATAGGGGACCTATTTCTTTTTCTAAGGCTTACATTGGTTTATTTTTTCCTTTTTCTTTGTATTCAGTTTATAATCAAGTTTCAAATTGGCAAATTATAAAAGATCTTTTGCTTTTTCTGTTTTTTTCCTTTTATGGTTCTCTTTGATGTTCCATATATTTATATGGGCATTTGATCTAGTATAATTGGTATTCTGTCAACAAGAGTCAACCTTTATCGAAGGAAATGCATGGCTTCGGATTTTTTCCCTATTTGCAACAAATATCCAAAGACGGTTGAGCACCTATTGTTTGATTGTGACTGAACCAAAGCTATTTGGTTTGGAATTAATTTAAGTCTTAAAATCAACCAAGGTTCAATATCTAATGTTGCCATGATTGAGTTTATCTACAACAGCACTCCGGTGGACACTGGTGCAACTATTCAAAAACCTACCTAAGCATGGGATGGGATGAGTTTCACGGCCTCCCACATCTCAGCGAACCACCAACTGCCACCCCTATTTATGTGCCACAAGGTGGTCTTAATCATAAATGGGAGCCTCCTCTTGAGGGTTTTTGCGAATTCAATTGAGATGTTGCAGTCAAGAAAGGCCTTTCAAAAGGCCTCCATTGAATGCATCATTTTTTTTAAAATCCCTCTCCCCTAATGGAGAAAGTACAAGCCTCAAATGGTTGTTAATATCATCATATGACCCACCTTATTTATGCTAAATCATTAGTCTAATTCATTTACCAAACTATTTGGGATTTATTTATAAATAAATGCAAAACACAGTTGTGACAAAATACAATATACGAAGACATTTGTGATTACAATCATTTTAACTATGAATTTAAACATTTTCCTTTTAATGATTATTCAATTCTAAGATTGAGTATGGCTAGTTTGTCCAATATAACACATTCTCTGACTAAATTTTGAAGTTAATTTTTAGATTAATGTTTTAAAAAGCTTTGAATGAATTATAAAAAATGTTTGATATAGGTTTTGAATGGCATGTGAAAAAAATGAAAATATTTGATAAATAATTTAAACAGTAATATTTTGTAGTGTAAAACCCAAAACTCAATTCGAAACCTTCAAAAATTTTAAAAAGTGACTTTGCGTACAAGTGTTGTCCTTCAAAATTTAATGGCTTATGTAAGGGTTTTAAAAATTTAAATGCTTCTTTTGTTAAAAAAAAAAAAAAAATCATTGCTAATTACATATTTAAAACACATTGTACTATATGAAAAGTATTAATCTACTTGATGTTGATGGTGTGAAATCATACCAAACAATTTTTTTTTTCCCCTTCTAAAAGGTCTTACATTGTGTTGGAGAAATTGATTGAGTTTTTGTATAAGTTTCTATAATTTTTCAAAGGAAAATTGCACATCAATGGTAACTTTACAAAGTATTTATAAATTCATAGAAAAATTTACGATTTTAATTATTAACGTTACTAAAAGAAAGTTAATATAATTATGTTAAAACTATAAGGCTACTTGTATTTTTGCCAAATTTTAAGGTGCTCACTATAATTTTCCTTGAAAACAATTAACCAAACGGCTAATTCTCTACTCCTTGGGCTAAGGACAACTATATATAATCAGGACAACTTTAGGGTTCATGAAAGAAGAGGGTTTTAGGGGGGGGAAGTTCCAAGATTGTGAAGATTTCCTCTACTGAACAGGTAATTCTCTACTCCTTGGGCTAAAATTTCAATCAATGTCCAGTTTAATTTGCAAAACTTTACACCATGTAAGGTCTTCTGTTAGAGCTTGTTCATCAAATTACAATAATCTCTATTTCATTCAAATCCACCTGTTTTCTTTATCATCACTTGAAACCACTCCAAATCAACACTCATTTACAGTGAATTACTTCATAAACTCATGTGGGTTTCCTTCAGAAAAGGCTCTCTCAACATCGAATTATGTCAAATTTGAAACTCCAAACAAACCTTACTTTGTTCTCGCATTTTTGGAGAACCACGGCTTCACCAAAACCCAGATCTCAAATCTCGTCAGGAAGTATCCTCCGGTAATCTTATGTGATCCGGAGAAAACCCCTTTGCTCAAATTCCAGTTTTTCAAATCTAAAGGTGTTTCGAGCACTGATGTTGCCAAAATACTATCTTCAGCTCCAACTGTTTTGAAAAGAAGCATGGAAAACCAAATAATCCCCTCTTTCAATTTCTTTAAAAGTTTTATACAATCTGAAGAGGAGACAATATCTGCTATTAAACGCAATTTCAAGCTTCTGTTAGTTGATCTTCAAGCTTGTGCATTACCCAATGTTGAATTTTTGAGAGAAGCTAATGTGCTAGATGCAAAAAATTTGTTCATGTTAAAGTTCATGTCTGGAGCATTCAATTCAACTAGTGATAGGTTTAGAAAGATTGTGAATGAGGTAAAGAAATTAGGTTTTAATCCTTCGAAATTGAATTTTGTGTTAGCGGTTCATGCATTGAAGTCAATGAGTAAATCAACTTGGGAAAGAAAGTTGAGGTTTATAAGAAGTGGGGTTTGTCTGAGGATGACATTGTTGTGGCTTTTGGGAAGTATCCATGGTGTATGATAGCGTCTGAGCATAAGATCATGAGAGTGATGGAATTTTTTGTTAATAAAATGGGTTGGAAAGAAGTCCATGGTTTATTTTAATGAAATTCGAGAAGAGGATTGTTCTAAGGTGTGCAGTTTATCAAGTTTTTTTGTTGAAAGGTTTGACACAGAACAATGATATTACCTTGGAAACTATGCTAAAGTATACTCAAAAGGTTTTCCTAATGGAGGTTGTTGTAGCTTGCTTTTCGTGCTTTTTTCGGGTACGATAGCCCTACAGTTCAGACTCTCGTGGTTCTGAATTTGATTCCACAAGTGCAATGTGAAATAGATAAACCCAAATGAGTCCAAATCTGAAAAATCTTTTGAAAAATTGATTTTGAATCAAAATGGCAAAAATGGACTGCTTTTCCAGATTACAAAGTCGCCACTTAAATATTTTTGAAAAATTTAGGAAACCCGTGACTCATGCCAAAGGCCACGTGTCCGTCATCACCAAAGTTTCATGGCTCAGGAACTTAGGTACGAGAGGGGAAGGTGTAGACACCCCATTTTTGACCGCCTTTAAGACTTGGGCGCCGCTGATTGCTTTCTTGATGGTGCAGGCTATCTTGTGCAAAGGTTTGATTTCTTCAGTAAGAGGAGTTTCAAATCCTAACCTTACACCCCATTTTGACCCAAAACTATTTTGAATGGTTTTTAGACCTTAAAACTGTAACGCCCTCAAAATAACAACATTAAACCCAACAATAAAGATATGCATTGATATGTAAAAGTTCCACATTCTTCCATTTATCAGAGTTTCATTACAAAAAGTATTACATGTTAACAACAAAAGCAAATGCCCTATGGGCTTACAGCTTTCCAAGTTAACACTTGGTTACAACAAAAGAGTACTAACTCATTTACACATTAAGCCCTTGGCTTGAATTTACATGTAATACATCAAAAATAAAACGACAAAAGTTAATGACTAAAAAGTTATGTTCGCCTACTTTCTTAAGCCTCCATGGCGCCTTATGTCCTCTTTGGAGTGTGTCATGGCTACTGATATGTAATGATTTTCCCATATAGGTCTTGTCGATCCACAGCCATGATAATACACTAAACAACCATGAAAAATATGAACTAAAAGTCTTGTTAACTCTGATCACGTATGAGTCAATAACTGATACATACCAGATAATGAAATTATTATGATCATAGTAAAAAAGGCACAGATATGAGTTACCTCTTACATTTCGCGCCTTTCTACACAGATTACATATAATTGCTCTATCTATAAACATTCGACTCAACGAGATACTCGTATACTATTACAACACACTATCCCAATTTTCTACAGATATAGTATATATTCAGCTTAATAAGCGACTCTCAAAAAACGTAAGCAATATAGATGGTCATATATATTACTTCTCGTATACAGTCATATGAGACAGTATCTATAGCAGGAAGTTCATCCCACATATATATTCTTCAGCAAGACCTCATACACACTGCGCTTTTATAGAGTACATTCCCAAATCTTCACACTTCTAAACCGCAGAGAAGTACAGAAAAATTTCTAATCCCCATGATGCACCTCAATACTACATAAAGGTACTAATCAAAACCTTTGAGTTCTATAGTCACATAATAGACTGCCTATAGCATGGCGTTTAAGTATCTTCATAACTATCTAACAAGTCCAAATTCTCGCACTAGTAAGCCTTCCATTCGACTATAAGTTCAGTTTAGCCCTATCATCATGCCATATAGATACTAACATCTAGTCACTCTTTCCACCCGAGCTGATAGCCAGTCCACATTTATATTCTAAAAGCAAGTAATGCAGACGCGAATGCGATACATATAATATACAGATATTCAATACGGTAGAGTTGAATAAAGATACCCATAGTATATCAAGACTCAAACACGCTTTATAATCCCTTTATGCGATTCAAGTTCAACAATTTTCCATTTCTATCTCTCCCTCATGTTCTCTTCATTAGTAATCCACACTATAATCAAGTACAATTGTAATTTAGGCCTCATTTCCATAAGTTCCATTAAACATAACACTTCTAACTTTACAAGGTTAACCAATTTTCTCAATCATAGATTCATCTCTTTTTTAATTCTCTTCTTGCAATTAATTAGCATTTTGTGGTTTTAATTATGAATAAATCGCCTAGCTTATCTGCTATAAATAATACCAAGAAGTCCATCTTATTCATAGACCACACTAGAAATTTACCCAAGAGAAACTCCATACGCGCCAATATATGAAATACTACTATATAGCCAAGACATCACTATAGGAAGAAAGAGTAGTCGCTATCCCTGCCTCAGAAGTTTTGAGCAAAAAGGAGATGAACGCACTCAGATAACGTTGCATCCTATACACAAGTTTTTTATATGAGTTAGATAGCATACTCTCAACGACCCTCTTATCTTGTTTAATCAAAGGAGCCTTCTCTATGCAGATTCACATCTATCGGTGTAGATGTTCTTAAGGAGAGAGTGATACGGTCTCTAAAATGTATAGAGACAGAGGCTCGGGATCTAGTTTGAAGTAAAAGAGAAGTGCAAAAACTTGATGTTGAAAACAAGATAATGCGTGAACGTGGTCCTAGCTCTGTATTCATGACCAACACGCTGCTAGAGTCGAGCTAGCTAAAAATCAGACCTTATAGTGTGTCTCAGAAGTGCCGAATCATAGATAGACACAGAAATCTCTGACTACTGATTTCGCCAGTCACGTTCGACGCTGAAACTCAGAGTGCAAGCTCCGAATGAACAAATATTGATTGCACATTCAGCATAACGTGAAGCCAATCAACTCAAACCAATACTCACTAGGTAGAAACCAGTAGGCTCACGTCTCGAGTGAGCAAATCAGATTATGTGGGAACGTTCGTGACTCTCTTCTCTCGCATCAGATTGTTTTGTATAAATGCAGCTATAAATAAGATTTATAGAATACAAACACTGAACCATGACAATTTTCCAGATTTGCTGAAAGACACTTCGGCTAGCGCGCGAAGCTAAAGAAAATTGCTAGCTCTCACAGGTCCGTAAAGATGCAAAATCAGCTTCTCGCTGATCTTGTTGTAGTATAGCAAGATTTAGTAGGCCTTCTCTGGAGCATCAGAATATTCTCAGCGAATCTGTAAGTCTGCGAACCAGAACAGAAGTATTGCTAAGATAATAATAATTTTTAGCTGGTATTGGTCAGATGATGATTATTCGTACGTTAACTCAAGTAAATCTCTTTTCTGTTCAACAAATACGAATTCAGACCTAAGATAATTATTCTTAACTAAATACTTTGGTTGAAAAACCTTTTAATTTAATTTGATTGCTTTAAGAGAAAAATTCCACACACACCTTTAACACTCGCTCGTCCATTAAGTATTTAAATTTATTTATTTATTCAATTAAATTAAAAAAACCTAAATAATTAGGTGGACCCGTGGTGGGGGTTGGAGTCACCGCCGTCACCAGCTTGGTTGGCTTATTTGATGTTAAAGTTAGAAGAGCATAGAGAGATTTGATTACATCCTACATGGAAATAGAAATCTGGGTGATTGGGCAGGAAAATAATAATGTCCGCAAAAAATGAATAACGATGATTACAAACATCTCTGAGGTACTTCTCAAACTCTCTCTATATACACCAGGAAGCTCGTTATTTAAAGATAGCCTTAACTTTTCTGCTCCTTCAATTTACTTGGCTTGCATCGGTTAAGGGCAAAACACTACAAATAGATATAAACAATAACATTATAAAATAACTAATTTGCAAAGCAAGAATAAAAAAGAGGATGCGTTTAAATATCACAAGATAATAAACAAGGAAGACAGGGTACTCAGTAATTCCAACGGAAGAATGATGCACGGAACACTGTGACCAACAAATTTTAATTCTTACACAGGAGATTAACCCGGGATCACCCTTCAAACGCTAATATATGGAGTTAGTAGCCCTTTTCTTCAGGTCACATTAACGGCCATCAATATAATATTTTCGAAAAGCAGAAGTTGGTAGAGCAAAATTGAATGCAATGTTTCTAGAGGAGGTCAAGCTCGTTTGCTAGTCTTCAGTAAATATCGTTTTTGCGTTCTTTATACCTCGCGATAAAACAGTCCTAATTCAAGAGCAATAAAAAAAAAAGTCGCGCAAAGAATTTAACCAATGAAAGCAGAGGTGAATATCGTTTGAAAGACACTAAAACCTCTGTCGCTCATTTAAACCAACAACAAATACCTCATATATATATTGGACCAATGGGTTTGGGCCTTTTGAAGAAAAGAGGACAGAGAGTAAGATAACCAGTTGACCGGGAACTATCCCGCAAAAGTTTCGGTTTGAACAGTATCTTCGAGTTTTCTTTTTCTCGATATATGCCTCGGGTACGCGCCACCACGATATATCTTGATTTTCCTTTGGCGCGATTCAGGCTATCTTATCACTCATCATCAATCGCATATCAATCACAAACACTTTTCTCTATATCGTCATCACGATGGTTTTTCACTTCTTATATTTTGATGTTGATGTATCTCTACCATTATGTTCACAATTGGAACGGATATCGCTATTAGTGTCAACTGGGCGCTCCTCATATCTTTAAGGTCCCCTTAATTAGCGATATCATCAAGATCATTCACGGAGTTCAGGTATTCGCATTGCGACCGGATTATTGCCCATTTGTGAGGTGGGTTCTACCGTCGCTCTTCCCTCTGTCTCTCGAACCAAAGTAATTCTCTATTTTCTTGCCTGCCATTGCCGGGCCACGCTGGTGAGGGTGCCTGGCCTCAATGGATGTCAGCTGCTGACCACAAATGATCATATCACTGAATTCCTATCTTACCCTCCATTGCCGCCCATCTAGAGAACCATATCCACACTTGATTCGCCATCAGATCATTAACACTGGGCCAATTCTTCACCTCACCCTGATAGAATATGAAATTAGATTTTTTGCCAGATTCAATGTGCTTTCGCTAGCTCTGTCTCCATCCTAT